TACACCATTTATATACTCTCCAACAATGTGATCTACATTTCAGTCATTTTATCTCTTGCTGCCCCTCTTTATTACAGGAAGAAACGAATCACCAATTACATAAAACAGGTGTGGCCACCAGGGTCCCCGGCACCACAGTTTCAAAATAACCTAGAAGCCACCAAAAGAATGCTTGCTGTTGTTGACACGCTGGCCAAGGACGAGGAGTTTACTTTAGGAAGACTTGGGTTGGAAAGAAATGCAATAATGCAAATTATCAGAAAGCATATGGATGAGCGACGGCGTAAGGAATCTGAGCAGCTGGAAGCGACTGGCAAACTGTTTCCTGTGAGTGGCAGTGAAAGTGATACCACAAGTAATGTGAGTGGAGACAGCCCAGAAAGTGATGAGGGAAAGTCAACTAAATTAGAGGACTACTACAACACAGGTGAGCCATATATGTATATTTCAGATACCTTTGTGGTATATTTTGTGTTGTGATAATTAGTTTATCATTTCAATACGTTATCAGTTTTTTTCAGAGCCACCATAAGTTTGTGACCTTAAAAATTATATAGCTCTGTAATCTATGTACAGATTTTTTTAAATAAAATTGGTAAATGCTCTTTGGTGACCATTAAACAAAAAAAAGTTAAACTAAAGAAAAGTCACTGTAGCTTTTGAGTTATTAGTGTCAAAAGGTAAAAGTAGGGTAATTTTAAGCACCTTTTGGAATTTCATTTTATTCATTGCCAGTTCATGTGTCTATATACTAAGGGTCTTTTCTGTGTTTCAGAGCTCACTTTATCATCAGCAGAAACCATTATTTTGGTATGGCTGGAAAGAACAGCCATCAATGATGTACACGTTATCAAGGACCTGAAACCAGTTGCCAAAAATCTTAAACTGAAACTGCTGAGGAACAAAGACAAAACTGCTCACATCTGCGCTATTGCTAGTACCCTTTTAAAACAGGGGAAGGTTAAGGTGAATGCTCCCTTAGGAAATATCACAAGAGATGATATGGTTCTGAATAAAAAGTGACTGTTGCATTGCAAGTCAGTGTCTATGGCAACTAGTATTGTGTCAGCTGACTTTATCACCTTGGTCTCAATAGACAAGGTCAACCATGATCAGAAATGTTGAGCTAATCAAGGAACTTAATCCGATGGCCAGGATTTGTAAACTGAATCTGCTCAGGAAAGGAAGGACAAAATATATGTGTTGTTTAAAGCATCATGGCTGTGAAGACTGTTCTGTTGAAAGCTGCTAGACTGTGGCTACATAAAAATTAATGTTTGAGTTTATTATGAATATTTCGGTGAATAATATGTTGTTTATGTTACTTGGCTATTACACAAGCCAGTGGCAACTGTGTAAGATGACTTTATCACCTTGGTCTGAATAGACAAGCTGGTCAACCACCAGAAATTCTCATCTCATCAAGGAACTTCATCCTATTACCAGAAATCATAAACTGAAACTGCTAAGGATAGGAAGGACAAAATGTGCGTTGTTGTTTGAAGCATCATGGCTGTGATGACTGTTCTGTTGAAAGCTACTACATGTAGACTAGCTACTAGAACATTTTGTGGTGAATGACTGCGTAATTTACAGTAGTTGGTAAAACAGGTTATCACACAAACCTGTCAATATTTGATTAATTTTTTTAGACTGGATATGTCATTATCCACATTAAACTGGTTTAAAAAAAACATGTATTTAGCTTGTTTAGTGTCAAACGAAATATGGTTTAAATGGCACTCTTGTGATAGTGCAATTCCAAGATTGTTATCTGGTAATCTGAACCTGGGTTACTTAATTGACATATTTGGTTATCTTTAAAATACAGTCATGTAATATGGTAAATCCAGATATGGATTTGTTAAAATCCAAATTGCTCATACAACAGACTAATTGGATAATCCCTTTTCCAGTTATGGATTTCTCTTATTTCCCAGGTTTGGTTATTACTATGACAGTCTAATTTCAAGTATATTATCCGGTAATCCAAACCTGGATTATTGAGTTGACAAAGTTGGTTATCTATAGAATACTAACATGTAATGACGTAAATCCATATCTGGATTTGTAAAAATCCAACCGAAGGAATATAATGTTGACTATTTGGATAATACCTTTTCCAGTTATGGTTTTCTCCTATTTTCCAGTTTTGGTTAATGAAAAATCCAACTTACAAATCAGAATTGGATATTTTGCATTTTTACCAAATTTGGATATCAGTGAAAATCCAACGAAAAAACAAGGAAAACCCAAGTTTAATTCAACTTGGATATTTGATTTTTTTTCCAGTGACAAGACTTAGGCCACTGGAAATAACACATCACTTGTATTCGAAGTTAAATTATACTGAAGCAGGGGTTATAGGATCCTGACTAAAGGTCATCTAAACCTCGGGCTGATTGTTCTTTGCCTTTTTTTCTTTTACTGCTTGACTTTAGAAGTGTAACATGCTCTCCTTGGTGAGTATATCGAATCTGAAATACCTCAGCAATGTAAA